AACTACTCCAGAGAGATGCAGTGGTTCCCACGGCTTACGGTCTCCCTAAGGTTCACAAAGAGGGAGCCCCTTTAAGATTAATTGTAAATAATAAAGGAAGCGTGATGCATAAAACCTCACGGATTTATGCATATAAATAAGCAATTCTGCCAATTATTGGATATATTCACTAAAAAATTCGTGAAATTTTGTGAAATTGCTAGATCAACAGACAATTTCATAAGACAATAAACTAGTAAGCTTTGACGTTGTGTCTATGTACACAAACAGTCCTGTCCAAGGAGCTATTCAAGCTCTGATACAAACTCTGGGGGAACATCCAAAGATAACACAAGGAATGCGGCTGAGTGTAGCTTTTATTATTATACTTATTAACCTATCCATGAGTAACACATATTTTACCTTCGATGGTACGTTATACGAACAGACACAAGGACTAGCGATGGGATCTGCCTGGCTCCCATCTTGGCGATTAATTCTATGGCAAGAGTGGAGGAACACTTCCCGCAAAAGACAATACTAACACCCAAATTGTGGGTTAGATACATGGAAGAGTATTTTGTCATCTGACCTCATGGTGAGGACAATTTAGATAGTTTCCTATTTTCACTCAACTAGCGCAAAAGGAACATTAGGTTTGGTATGTAATTCTGGATGTTCTTAACATTATAGAAGAGGGTAAGTTAGGAAGAGATGTTTATAGGAAGCCAACATATGTTGGTTCTTTGCTTAATTTTCTTTCCAACAATAATTACAAGACTAAGGTTGGAATTTTGAAATCAATTATTATTAAGAGTATGAGGATAGCAGATAGCAAACATTTGACTAAAGTGTCGGAACAGCTGACAAATATATTCCTGGAAAATAATTATCATTTGGACCTAATTGAGAATAATAGATCTCTACTGAGGAATACATTTTCAGACAGAGACCATTTATTCAAAGATAAATAGACTGAGACGTTGTCCCATGTCCTAATCTTGCCGTCATGCCTTCTCTCAAAAAAGATAGGCGAATTAGTGAAGAAGTGGGACATAAAAACAGTGTTCAAAGAAACCTTTATACTTTCTTCTGTTATGCTGTCTTTTAGAGAGAAATATGACCCATCATCGAGATCCAGTTGCTACAAGATTGTTCGATGTTGTGTTGGTGAGAAATGCCGACCCATTAAACAAAGATTGGTAGAACACAAAAATGCTTGCAAAGGAAGCTGGGTCCAACTGGACATGAATTAGAGAGGTCTCAAATTAGTAGGTTTGCTGATTACGGTACGTCTGTGTTTAAAAGAATGATAAGAGAGGCTTTTAAAATTAGTAGATTATGAAATACGTTGAGTGTGAGTAAGGGTGGTAGAAAGTTGAGTGGCAACTATTCATGCTTGATTGATAGATTGAAAGAGAGCGTGGGTGTTGAGCCGCCGTCCAAAAGAAGGCGACTAAATTTATCCGCTCAGTGATGATTCTAATTTAACTCACACTTGTCCAACATGTTGGATTGTTAAACCCTACTGTTCCTAGACTAAGAGGTTGGGACAAGTGGTTTTGTAACTTGACTTGCATGCTTACAAGCTCATATCTCATCATCTCAATCATACTTGTTTACAGACTTACGCAGTCTCGGTCAGAACTTTCTCTTGGCTCCATGAGCCTTGACGACTAGAGCATGACAATAGCATCTTTTGATAACTCTGATTTAGGACTGGTATTGCGTATAGACGCTAACATACACACATACACACACACAAACACATACGTACAAACTCGAGAAAAGTAGCAGGGCCAGTATGAAGGATAATTGGCCAGAACACTTTATATCTTTCTAGGTTTATAATTTCATTCTGCTTAATTGAGTCAAGAGGTAAGATAGAACCGGGTAGTATTCTTGCCCCGGTTTTAACGTGAGTCTTTTGCAAGAATGGCACCCAGCTCTGATGATGTCCATCAAATGATGGACGAAAGCTGAGCCCGTTTTCACCGGAAACGAGGAAGGACGTCGCATAAATGCCAAACGACCGCCGTAAAACGCGATTCAATCGTCCTCTTCCGGTGAGATCGAGTTACGAAGATCTTCTCCATGCACTTTCATGCGAAACAATACATTTTTTTATGGCGGATGATAACAAATCTTGCCACAAAATGGTGGAAGTAGGTGTTGTATTCACACTATTTCATTTAAGGTGATAAGGGACTGGTAGTTGACTAGACCTTGCGCTGCCACTTACTTTCCAAAAAACGTAATCTTTTCAAGGTTGAAATTGACTGCACTTTCGACCTCGCCAAACCTGGTCTTATCAACACCCCAAGCGGGACTCGATTATGACAGTTGCCTACTACGTCACACTGCAGTGAGGACTATTGTTTCACAGGGCCGGTGTGAATTTCCAGGGAGCCCAGTCATTTTTCCTCCCATATCACAATCTGTGGTGGGAGGGCCGATGAAGCAGTTGTATTTGTCTTAGTGATCGAAAACACTACTTACTTTTTGGTTATAAGTAGACTTTCGCACTACTAATACGTCATATATATATATTAAATGCATTCGCCTTTTTTTCGCTCAGGCAATGAATGATTGGTGAATAAATCTCATTTATATGCTGTACTGGTAGTCTCGAAGCATTAGTTATAACGAAAACTAGGCAATTTAATCGATTGTGATGACGAATACAACATTGCTTCATTGACAATCACATCAAAAAATGTGGTATGGGAAAGTGCCGCCCTTCCTTGAAATTCGCATCTACCCTGTGATCCATGGGCACCGAGGTAGTGTGGCGCAGTTGGTAACGCTGCACTACCAAAACCCGAGTTCGAGTCCCCCTTGCGGTGTGCTGATGAAACCAAGACGAGATGGAAATTGCAGTCCACTCTGAATGAGAATAGCTTTTGGGGAAGCAAGGCTATCCTTTGAGGAAAATTCATCTTCATTTCTTTAATGAAATAGAGCTTACCCACCCTCATACTAAGCCAACGGGCTCGGATTCTTGAACTTTAGCCTCGTTTAGAAGTTGTTTGACCTTGTTTCGCAAGATGTTGTGGTCTAAGTCTTCCTACCAATATGACCAAGCTTCAAAAACAAGGTCAAACAACTTTTTAAAACAACGAAAGGAGACTGCGACCACACAAAAGGCCACACCATCAGGGTCTTCCTACTTTCAAAAAAACACATAGTTTAATCGGAGGTATGAAGACAAAGCTGCTGTGGTCTAAGTCTTCCTATTAACATGACCGAGTTGCGAAAACAAGGTCAAACAACTTCTTAAAATAACGAAAGTAGACTGCGACCACACAAAATGCCACACCATCATGGTCTTCATACCTTCAACAAAACACATACTTTAATCGGAGGTATGAAGACCAAGATGTTGTGGTCTAAGTCTTCCTACCAACATGACCAAGTTGCGAAAACAAGGTCAAGCAACTTCTACAAACAACGAAAGGAGACTGCGACCACACAAAAGGCCACACCATTTTAGTCTTCACACCTTCGATTTAGCCTCGTTTGTCGCAACTTACTCATGTTTACAAGGAGACTTCGAAAAAAGTGGCATTGGTTCAATTTCGGTCCTGTCTACCTACATGTTGACATCGTCACTGAGAAGCATCTGCCTTAGTATCTTGCTACAGTTCGTTGAAATGATCAAGTTTGTGTTATAGGATTGTTTCACCCTTCCTTCCTTTGACGCTACAACTCCCCGTGCCCACATATTATTGCACTATCATCCCAATTTCCCAATTGACAATGCCCATCTCTGACTCCTCATTTGTTTTAACTAGCCCGAGGTGTGTGCCCATGTGGATGAATTCATTTAGCCCCAAATCACCCTCATATTCAGTCGTCTAGCTTACCAGTTTACTATTTTTTATTTCGCTTCATAATTTTCATTGTCCAAATTATATCAGCTGATACTACTGCTTTTCAAAATACCCGACCTCTTTGTGTACATAATATAACCCTCTAATACTTTGAGGAAGCATTCACAGGACTGGTCTCGAATTATGATATAAACTTTATATATGAATACATTTTATTACGTTCATCTTAATGAGACTTATGTTTAGATCAAAATTCAAGACTACCTTCTGAGCATCCCCAACTCGCATTTACTTTGACATTCTCAATGAAACACTGCCTTTGAAGCCTCTACGAATTGTCGAACAGTATTCGCATATAAAATCATGTGAATTTCCATCTTTAATTAACTTCTTTTCAGTTGGGTGCATTTAGCGATAGTGGATGTATCACTGTCAAAACAAAAAACCGGTTATTCACATTTATTAATGCAAAGTTTTCATCATATAACCTGATTTGTTTGTCATCTAAGTCGATATATGACCTTAAATAACCAAAACACTTTATACTTGATCTCGATGTAGAGTATATGTACCACTTTTTAGGAATGTGCCGGTGAGTTTTTCTTGACTCGTTAGCTTGAATTTGGTTGTGACGATGTTACCTCGCTCTGATGATGTCCGTCATGTGATCCGGAATCGAAGGAGATTGCCTCGGCAACAGCGTCAGTATGATTGTTCCAGTAAAGCCAATCGACAGCTGGTCAAGAGGAATCCGCCGTCGTCTTCTGGTGGAACCGACCATCGAATCTCTTCACCCTCGACACTTTCACTCGAAATGGAAGTAAGCTCAACAAATATTTTAGTCGTATTTTCCTTTCAATTGTACAGAAGTAGCCCGACCTCATTTTCACTACTTGCTCGTGCTATTGTGGCGACCTAGTTGGACGCACTTTGTCCAAAATCTTCTGCTGCAGTAGTTATGCTAAGTTCTAGCGTTGCCCGGCGGAATTGGTACATTCCGAGGCGTTTCGTCGGCCAGTGCGTCTTGTCAGTATTAGCACAACTCTCAACTACAAGTCGTCAAAGAGACAAGTTAAGTCAATCCCTTGACCAACTTTATGTCGAACGGTTGTCTACTCCCAACCCTCACTTCCTCCCTACCACAACTTACAACTTGTTTATACTCGACTCCCCAAAAGGTGTGTCCTTTTTGGCAGTTTAGTGGAATTTTTGATCCGACTCGGACCTCTTCTGCAAATCTGCCTCATCGCTACTAAGGTCCATTTATTATTATTTTTTGGTTAACTCATTTTACTCGATTCCAGTCACAGAATACGTTTCACTGAATACTCAATTTTTCAAGCCTTTAAAGACACGTACAGAAGCAGAGAGCCTAGACTCTGATCCAGGCGCTTGCAGACATCAGACATTTTTCCATGGCACAGCCACTTGAATCAACCCGTCTTCCCTGAGCAAACTGTGAGTGTCTATTTCCTGTCTCCAAATGCATCTCGAACAGATTTTCAGCTAACTTGGATCCGCAAAAAGGTGTAGATGTCACTTCTAGCCGAAAACACTCACATAAAAGTACTTTCTTGATTTTTGAAGCCATCACACCTGCTTCTTCTTTGCGAGTTTTTTCCTCCCATTAACGATCCAGGCGTATTTTGTTCGCTAAGTAGAGAATATAAAAAAAAAATGGGTTTCTAAGAATTCCTTATTGATATATTGTAATATGATTCTCCATTTCGAGGGAAAAGTAAGTTGGAGAGAACTCGTGAAATAGTCTCCCCGGAAGCCGAATGAAGATAGACTGACCCATTTTAAGAACAAGTATCATCGGCTTGTCCTCAAATTCTGTATATATAACGCATATTTAAGCATTTTGGTGGGGTAGACTGTGATTTGGTTAGTTCAAGAATGTGAGTGTGTCTATTTGGTTGGGCTTGTGTGCCTTTATGCGTTTGTATATGCACGAAGCCAGTTAGGAATACTTAAAAGAGAAAAGTAACACCATCAAGATTTGAAGATCACCCCCTTATAAATATATAAATAAATAAATAAATAAATCCTAAATCTATGGTTGTTGCTGAGGCACCAAATAATTTTGGCAGTTCAAGTCATATTTCAATCTAGAAACACAT